GACACCACCAAGAATATGACACCACCAAGAATATGACGCCAATAACACCACCAGAAAGTTTGAAAATTTGAGAGTATGCAACAGGATGGAGCTTCTGGAAACTTTCCTTAAGACTGCTCATTGCGTAGTCGATAGTGCTACGGTCTTACATGCGCGGGGTCCCCGGTTCGATACCCACATAACCCAGATGCATGGGATCTCTCTTTCCAGGGAGCCGGTCGGCCGAGCGGACAGCACGCTGGACTTGTGATCCTGGGTTCGATACCGGGCGCCGGCGCAAAACACCCTTCCTGGGGGTGGAGGCCTGGTCGAGGACCGGGCCGCGGGGACACTAAAGCCCCGAAATCATCTCAAGATAACCTCAAGATAGCGTGGTGGATGTCAATTTATACGTTTAGCAATGTTTGAAGAGTTTCAACATTAAGGTTGAAGATGACTGGTTATCCACGAAATCCACGAACCAAGATATCCACAGCACCAACTATCGGATGGTGACACACACACAGCAGACCACAGGGGCCAGGTTCACAAAGCAGTTACGCAAGCACTTACGAACCTGTCCGTCTTTTCTCAATCTTTGGCGGCTTTGTTTACAATTATTAAACCGTTAATGAGTTCCGAAGCACCAGGAGACTGTTTATAACAATAACAACAGTTGATTGGCAAGTTTTCATGTTTGTAAACTGTTTAATAAATGTAACCAAAGCCGTCAAAGATTGAGAAAAGATGGACACGTTTGTAAGTGCTTGCGTAACTTCGTGAATCTGGCCCCTTGACAGCACTGTGTGAACAGGAAGATGCTGTCTCTCAGCATCTTAACCGCTACACAGCGGCTATCGTGAACCCACGGAGGCTACAGCTATCTCTTCTCCCAAACACAAGACGTTCATGTCCTCATCCAACCTGTTATCATAACACCACGGCTATTACGCACACGATAACACAGGAAAACTGCCGTACAGAAAAAAATGGCAGCGGCTCGCGAAATTGACAAAGTCCCGTTTTCTGTTCAAGGGTCCCTTGGTATGGTAGGATAAGGAGATCACTATTTAATACGGCAGTTTCTTATTGTTGGGGACGCTCGTTAGAACGGGCTCCCTCGTCCCCCTCTCCCATGTAATATAATGTCACATACACCAGCGATAACTCCGTCTGCCCGATAATATATATATATATATATATATATATATATATATATATATATATATGTCGTACCTAGTAGCCAGAATGCACTTCTCAGACTACTATGCAAGGCAAGATTTGCCTAATAAGCCAAGTTTTATGAATTAATTGTTTTTCGACTACCTAACCTACCTAACCTAACCTAACCTAACTTTTTCTGCTACCTAACCTAACCTAACCTATAAAGATAGGTTAGGTTAGGTTAGGTAGGGTTGGTTAGGTTCAGTCATATATCTACGTTAATTTTAACTCCAATAAAAAAAAATGACCTCATACATAATTAAATGGGTAGCTTTATCATTTCATAAGAAAAAAATTAGAGAAAATATATTAATTCAGGAAAACTTGGCTTATTAGGCAAATCGGGCCTTGCATAGTAGGCTGAGAAGTGCGTTCTGGCTACTAGGTACGACATATATATATATATATATATATATATATATTATAACACTAGCGCCTTTAGCTGGCGGACCCCGACGATAACTTGTGCCGTTCGACGCCAGCGATAACTAGTGCTGTACGACCCCGGCGATAACCACGGCCGTACGACCCCGGCGATAACCACGGCCGTACGACCAAGGCGATAACCACGGTCGTACGACAAGGCGATAACCACGGCCGTACGACACCGGCGATAACCACAGCCGTACGACCCCGGCGATAACCACGGCCGTACGACCCCGGCGATAACCACGGCCGTACGACCCCGGCGATAACCACGGCCGTACGACCCCGGCGATAACCACGGCCGTACGACCCCGGCGATAACCACGGCCGTACGACCCCGGCGATAACTACGGCCGTACGACCCCGGCGATAACCACGGCCGTACGACCCCGGCGTTAACCACGGCCGTACGACACCGGCGATAACCACGGCCGTACGACACCGGCGATAACCACGGCCGTACGACCCCGGCGATAACCACGGCCGAACGACCCCGGCGTTAACCACGGCCGTACGACACCGGCGATAACCACGGCCGTACGACCCCGGCGATAACCACGGCCGTACGACCCCGGCGATAACCACGGCCGTACGACACCGGCGATAACCACGGCCGTACGACCCCGGCGATAACCACGGCCGTACGACCCCGGCGTTAACCACGGCCGTACGACACCGGCGTTAACCACGGCCGTTCGACCCCGGCGATAACCACGGCCGTACGACCCCGGCGATAACCACAGTTAACCAAGTAGTATAAACAATTACAGTATGGGAGTGTGAAGAGCGGGTAAATAGCCTTATCAATAACAAAAAAGCCCCGCGGTCAACGCCCCGTGTTGACCGCCGGACGCCCCGCGAGGCGTCCGGCGGTCAACAGGTGACTGACTAACCTGCTTGATGGAGTTCTGGGAGTTCTTCTACCCCCTGACTTGTGAGAGTTTGGTCCACCAGGCTGTTGCTTGGAGCGGCCCGCAGGCCCACATACTCACCACAGCCCGGTTGGTCCGGCACTTCTTGAAGAAAATTGTCTAGTTTCCTCCTGAAGATGTCCACGGTTGCTCCGGCAATATATCTTATGCTCGCTGGGAGGACGTTGAACAACCGCGGACCTCTGATGTTTATACAGTGTTCTCAGATTGTGCCCATGGCACCTCTGCTCTTCACTGGTTCTATTCTGCATTTTCTTCCATATCGTTCACTCCAGTACGTTGTTATTTTACTGTGTAGATTTGGTATATCTACATATTCCAAATGTTGTCTAACGTATACACTCGTCAAATAACAGGTGTTGGAAACCTCGCGAACACTTGTGGACACTCGTGGACACTCGTGAACACTCGTGAACACTCGTGGACACTCGTGGACACTGTCCTCATGTTAGCCAACCTTGCAACAGCAGCCGATGATGTCCGGCTGATGTGGGCATCGGTATGATATCATCCGATGTTCGGTATGATATCATCCGATGTTCGGTATGATATCATCCAATGTTCGGTATGATATCATCCGATGTTCGGTATGATATCATCCTAAGGCCAACCTTCTCTCCTACTTTAGTGATGGCTTCCTCTTCTATTTCCTGTCAAACGTTCGGCCATCCGCTCCCAACAACCAGCTTCATTACCTTGCACTTACCGAGTTAAACTTTAATAGCCATTAGTTAAGACAAGTTTACAAGGCATCGTAGTTTATTGCACCCTTGAATCGCTTACGTTAACAGTTTGATTTTAGTGTAGCTAGTTTGAGGTATTTAGACTAAACGATGTAGTTAGGAGGCAAGAATAGGGGGGGGGGGGGAAGGTGTAATACGAGACTCCTTTAATCCTTAGGTTAATTGATATGATGACAACACCACGGACTAGAAGGTGAAGGGACAACGACGTTTCGGTCCGTCCTGGACCATTCTCAAGTCGAATTGAGAATTAATTGATATCTTTGTCCAAAGGTTTTAAATGTCTTTCGTTGTATGATATGCTGTGATCGGCACTATAGAAGTGAGGGTGATTATGTGGCCAGCATGTTGGAGGATTACGGAAGCCAGACTCACCATTGCAAAATTACTCCAGAATTACATATGATTTTAACACCAGAATATGTAAAACCCCAGGTACCAGATTCACGAAGCAGTTACGCAAGCACTTACGAGCGTGTACATCTTTCCTCAATCTTTGACGGCTTTGGTTACATTTATTAAACAGTTTACAAGCATGAAAACTTGCCATTCAACTGTTGTTATTGTTATAAACAGCCTCCTGGTGCTTCGGGGCTCATTAACTGTTTAATAATTGGAAACAAAGCCGCCAAAAATTGAGAAAAGATGTACAGGTTCGTAAGTGTTTGCGTAAGTGTTTTCGTGAATCTGGACCTTAGACGGTAAGGAGCACAGAGGCAGGATTGATGTGTCTGGGGACCATACATAAAGAGAGAACAACGCCGCACGCATCCACTACGGGCTCACCATAGCCCGTGCTACTTGGAACTTGTTCCGACTTACTGAATCTATAACAACAACAAATAAACAACAGCCGCACGCATGCGCGCGAGCACACGAGCCTCAATACCCTGCCTAGAACGCGTGTTTAAGTACATAATAATAATTATTTCACATTAAATTAATAGCTTACTGGTATATCCAGCTCGTCTACCGTCACCACGGGTTCCCAATGTGACTGATGTACTTGTTGCTAAGACACTGCGCAAGTGGGGGGGGCGTCCGGTGACCCCCAGCAGTGCCGCAGACTGCAGCAGGTCGCAGCTCGTCCTCCCGCAGCGGCGGCAGACTCCGCAGGCAGAGACGGCGGCGGCGGAGTCTGCGCGAGCCTCACACAACCCAACACATAACAATATTTCACTTGTGACCTCTGCATACTTTTCTGTTTGTGAGAGCTGTCAGCGGCCTGGTGAGTGACCGCTGTCAGCGGCCTGGTGAGTGACCGCTGTCAGCGGCCTGGTGAGTGACCGCTGTCAGCGGCCTGGTGAGTGACCGCTGTCAGCGGCCTGGTGAGTGACCGCTGTCAGCGGCCTGGTGAGTGACCGCTGTCAGCGGTCGAGTGAGTGACCGCTGTCAGCGGTCGAGTGAGTGACCGCTGTCAGCGGCCCGGTGAGTGACCGCTGCACACACACACACCGTCACACTTATGCCAACCCGAGTACCACTTCGAGTCACAACACAACTTGGGTCATCTTGGGCAGTAACAATGGTTGAATCACTAGTCAAACAAGCCGGCGGCACGGAGAAAACCCCGAACTGAACATTGCTCCTGTTTAAGATTTAACTCCTTGAAACAAACGTCCCTTGCAGCACGGACTATGGCGACCCCGTAGTGACCTTCGATCAGGTAGCACTGGTAGGCCTGTGTGACTTGTACCTAAGGAGCAGGAGCCCTGAGGTCAAGGAGCACGTGACAGGGCTGGGTGGCTGGTCCGTGGCACAGTTCACACTCGGGGGAGAAGCCCCCACACACACACACGCACCGTCGCCCGTGTTGCCCTGGGCACTGAGCCACTACCACGGAGTGCCAGCCCTCACCCTGCCCGAACCTCATGCCTCCACCCTACACACTATCCACCCCTGCCCACTGCCCTCCTCCTCCTCCTCCTCCTCCTTGCCTGCTATCCTCCTCCTCCACCCTGCCTGCTATCCTCCTCCATGTAAGGAGCACCTGCTGCAGCTGTGTGGTGCTTCACTACCATCACACACCTGTGAGGAGCACCTGTGTGGTGCTTCACTATCATCACACACCTGTAAGGAGCACCTGTTGCAGCTGTGTGGTGCTTCACTACCATCACACACCTCAGGACACCTTAAGACTGGTTGAATAAATGTCTATGCAATATTAAAATTCTAATTGTTCAGAGAAGGATTATTTTGTTATTAGTGAGCACAGTTTGACGGTGTTGCCGAGCAGAGCAGCTCCCATGTGGAACAGAAAGTTCCAAAGAAGCACGAGCTATGGTGAGCCCAGGGTGGTCTTACCTGGCACAGGAGCGGGACTGTGACAGTTTGACAGATAATGACTGAGTGGAACGCTCCACACCTTAAGACTGGTTGGAAATTCAATTGAAGACGAGAGCTACTTCCGAGCAGAGCGCTCCCATGTCCGAGCAGAGCGCTCCCATGTCCGAGCAGAGCGCTCCCATGTCCGAGCAGAGCGCTCCCAGGGCCGAGCAGAGCGCTCCCAGGGCCGAGCAGAGCGCTCCCAGGGCCGAGCAGAGCGCTCCCAGGTCCGAGCAGAGCGCTCCCAGGGCCGAGCAGAGCGCTCCCATGTCCGAGCAGAGCGCTCCCATGTCCGAGCAGAGAGCTCCCAGTAGCCCACGCGGAACGTCAGGGAATACAAGGAGACAAGGAGAAAAGGCAGTTGACGAAGCAGGAACAGAGAAGGCACCTATCAGGCCGAAGCACCAAGCAATTACGACTATACACCACTGGGAAATAGGTCAGAATTAAGGATTTGGGATGGGACGGAGGGGGGGAAGGAACGGTGCACAACCACTTTAGACGGTCGGGGATTGAACACCGACCTGCACGAAACGAAACCGTCGCTCTACCGCCCAGCCCAAGCACAGGAACACACAACCACACGTCATTTGGCTACCAGTCTTGACGCTATGCTCTCTGAAACTCCACATTTCCTCTCGGCTTATTTAATACACAAAATATTGTACAAGATGTATGGGACGAACACGTCGTCATCTTTACGATAATTTGATAAGCGGCAACGACAGCAGTAATCACAGCGACGCTCCACAGGCCAATAGCCGTGATGCATATGCAATAAAGCTGCCAGCTGCATCTGCCGCACCGTCTGCCCCCCTCTCAAGCTTCGCTAGTCAGCCCATCACCGCTACAAAAGACCAGGCACCACCGCCCTCCTTGTCCAGGGCGTCCCCCTGGGAGACCTGGGAGTGGGGGGGGGGCTAATATCTGCACCCCAGCAAGAGGAACAAAGGCTGCACCTAACGTAATGTCCCAGTAAAAAGAGAGTGCAGGCGACGCTGTGCGCCTTCACCCTGCAGCTGGGACTTGGGGGTAGGCGTAGTGCAGCCGTCCGCAGCAGCTGCTGCTGCTGCAACCCTGGCTGAAGAGAAGCAGAGAGAGAGAGGCAGACAGGAGAGAGAGGCAGAGAGGAGAGAGAGGCAGAGAGGAGAGAGAGGCAGAGAGGAGAGAGAGGCAGAGAGAGGCAGAGAGAGGCAGAGAGGAGAGAGAGGCAGAGAGAGAGGACGCTAGACACTCCTCATACAGAGCTTACAAGAGGAAGTGAACAAACAAGAAGAGGAAGCACAATAGACGTTTTTATATGAAAAGGGAACTATCAAGAGAAAGCGCCAAGCCTTTACGACTATATAGCACTGGGGAAGGGGGTCAGGATAAGGATTTGGGATGGTACGGGGGGAAAGGAATGGTGCCCAACCACTTTGACGGTCGGGGATCAACCACGTCACTCCTCAACCAGAAATTTTCACTATCAAACTGATAAATGAATATGCACATCCCAGTCATGTAATAATTAACAATCTAAAAAAAAAATTAAACTCTCTAACACTAAATCGTGCGATAATTTCAACCACAATCGCCTCAGATCGCCTAGTTCTCCAGAACCTTTAGTTAGGGGCTAAAAAAATGGGGACCCTGTAACGGGGGGTGGGGGGAAATAGCTCTATCTTGTCCATTATTCCACCCCCCAGTTAACTAACGAGGCCGGGGGAAACAGCTCTCTCTAGTCCGTTATCCCGTCCCCAGTTAGCTAACTATTCTAGAGTACTCCCAGAGTTCCTAAGGCAGCCTCTCTCGTTCAACACCTTGTAACCTAGGTATTTGACTACCTAGGTGCTAAGACTACAAGGCGCCGTAACTGGATCAGCTACCCGAAACTCTAGAGAGAACTCTAGAATACAGAATCATTGCCACAAACGTATAAGAGAAAACGAAAGGAAAGAAATGAATAGTGAAGTAATTAGTGAGGGTTTGGGGTGAGAGGCAGAGAGGTGGGAGGGGCAAGGAGGGTCATTAGTTGAAAGTGAGAGTTCAGAGAGGGGTGGAGGGAGAGGTGTAGATAGGTAGATGTAGAAGAGTAGATAGTAGAAGTAGAAGAGTAGATAGTAGAAGACGAAATGCTGCCACCATCCATTCATGATCATTACATACAAGACAAGGAATGGAACTTGCCTGTATCACAAAATTCTCAAAGGATGTTATCATGAGTTCATTATTAGTATGTTCCCTCTGTACCATGTATCAACTCCAAACATGTACTCATTAAATCATGAAACCAATAATCACAGAGGCTTTCTCAAATCCTCAACTCAAAGCTCTAGGGAACAAAGTTAAACACAATTTAAATAATAAATTCATAATTATATTTCACATGAAGTATCATAATTTAAAATTCAATTAAAATGTTCCAGTTTAATATGCAAAGTGAGTCATCATCCAAGAATTCGAGAACCCTACAACTTGACTGCCCCTGATCATCACACAACACTTGTAAAACACGACAAGTCACCTTAATGTTCACTCACCGAGGACTGAGTCTAAGTTGAATAGAGAGGGGGGGGGGGGGTCTGTAGTTGACGGAGACTCCCGCCCTGCCGGCCGACAGCCTCCCTGGTAGGGCTGTCTTCTCTGCTTCTGCTGACTCCCGTTCTGTCTGTTAATGCTCTATGCTGGATAGCTCTCCGAGTTTATATTGGGGAACCTAGTAGCTAACTCCGCCCACAAGTAGATAGCCTCCGGCACTACCAAGCCACTCCTTAAACGTCGGCATGTTTGAAGGCTACCCGGCTCCAATTATACGCTTAGCGGAAGCAAGGTGAAATTATCATGATCTGACCTCAGGTCACTTGGGGTCATTAACGCTTTGAGGTGTGAGATCTCAGGCAGACAACTGGCGCCTCTCCGATCCTTGTCTGTGACTCATGTACTCTATGTGTGTATTAACCTAAACCAAACACTTTTACAGTGTTACATCTCCCCTTCTCCCCGAAAATAAAGTTTTTGCAACACTGCTAAAGCAAGCTAGCTGTGTGCGACAACTTTATTAACGAAAAGAATACATCCTAGCTAAACAAATATACATCATCCTACTCTAAAAAATGAAATATATAGACAGACGTCCATTGTCTCTGGCTGGGCGACGTCACTGCTTGGTCTTGTAGATAGTCCTGTACCACATTTCTTCAACACAACTGCCTCCGTCGCTTCTCCGTCGTTAACGCACAACAACACTTGGTCAACCCGAAAGCCGTTACTACTTGAACTGCGCACAGGACCGTGGAATTCGGTTGTCCCAGCTGATCTGTAATTGGCCCTACGTCAGTCACCATGAGAGACGTATATTGGGGTTCTTCACAGCTATAGGGACTACAAGTTTCGAGACCTTCATATAGTTGCCAACAGTAGAAATCCCATCCTACTCTTCTTCCTCCCTGTTGCTCCAGCACGCCTCCTTCAGAGAGCTACTTCTGACAGCCACATCAAGTCCGCATGACACAGGAAGAATCACTCAACAGAGCAACATGCTTGTAGGAGGGACGGCCAGTTAAGGCAAACGATCCTGTCTTGCAATTACGCTCCCTGCAATGATGCTGACACCAGCAAGGGACACGAGGCATCGTGTCTCACTCAGCTTGTCTTATCTTCTTCTTCTTCTTCTTTCTTCTTTCTTCTCTCTTCCTTCTTCTCTCTTCTTTCTTCTCTCTTCCTCCTCCCATGGGTCTTTGACAAGCGACCTGGGGTCCATTGGGGTCCGTCCATCCTGGGGTCCATCCTGGGTAGACCGATGTTGGTGGGACAGACTGGAATCGTTGTTGCTCCTCTTCCATTTTTACTGGGTCGTCTGGGGTCGTCTGCAGAACGACCTGGGGTCCACTGGGTAGACCAATGTTGACTGACCGAGAGGGCTGCATCTTGGGGTCCCCTGGGGTGGTGATGGTGGTGGAGCCGTGACCTCCAGGTAGTGGGCTGGTCGTGGTGGTGGTGATTAACGCCCGTGAGTGTGGTACACAGCAGCCGTCTCCCTCTTTTGTATGTGCGTCTCTCCTCTCTTCTGGCTCCCACCTGTGGGTGAACAGAAAGGCGACAATATCGTGCTCCCAAGATATGTTATGTGACCCTGTAGTTTGTATAGGGTTACACAGTCCAGTCATACCGCTCTCCTCCTGGCAACAACTACACTTAAATTTTTAAAATAATCCAATTAACACTGAATGATATTGACTTGGTGGAACATAAGACAGTAACAGAGGAAAGTTAGAGAAGAGAGAATAAGGTCATCACTACCTTTAACTTGTCACAAAAAAAAATCAACACTAATAGACAAAACACTAGCCTAAACTTAACTGTACCGTTCCTAATCTTAAGTACATAATTAACCATTACTCCCACCCTTAACCTACAGCCACCTACGTGACCCAGAGTGTCTCCCTAGCTTCTCCGCCGGTCAACAATCCCAAACTGTTGCCACCCCTGTGACCAGACTATCTAACGTCGAGCGTCCCCAACGTGAAGTCTAC